CATGGTTCCGATTCCGGCACATGTCACGTTTTTATATGTAGTTAGTTTAATCATGTGTATAGAAAAATCCTAAACCCTAAACCCTAAACCCTAAACCCTAAACCCCAAAATATGTTCCTACTGTAAGGGGGTCTAAGTCTAAGGGCGGGTTGGCTGATATTCGATGGGAGTAGCGAGCTTCATATAGACTCTTCGAACTCTAACCCCCCACAAACCGTGAAGCAAGCGTTCTGAAGACCTTCGGGCTGACTGAAAAAGGCGTTCAACAAAAGCAACGGGAAACTTCAAGCGGAAACTTCAAGCCCCTAAACCCAAGCCAACCTCGCCCAGCTACGAGAGGACCAGCTTGCTTTGATCGTGAAGAAAGCCTACGACTCCTTGTTGTCTGCGACAGAATGAGCGAGGACGACGTGTCCACAGTATAGGACCCCTTTCGCCCGCTCCCTCTCCACTCTCCGATAACCCTTGTATTCTGACATCAAAATCGAGTACTATCATTCCAGGACCCTATAGCCCTACCTGGCCTACATGTTTGGGGGGGTTCCTTACTTTCTGTAGTGCTTAAGACGGTAGGCTGTTTGGGGTTAAGGTAAATCGTGCCACCTTCCCCTAAACCCAAAACCTCAACCCCAAGCCCCAACCCTAACCCCTAAACCCTAAACCCCTAAACCCCTAAACCCCTAAACCCCTAAACCCCTAAACCCCTAAACCCCTAAACCCCTAACCCCTAAACCCCTAAAACCCGAAACCCGAAACCCCTACACCCTAAACCCTGAACCCTACACCTTCAACCAGCCATGATTCTACTCTCCTTCGATGTTTTGGGCCGAAGGGCCCCGTCAGAGAATGGAGCTCGGGGGTTTCGGAGTCCGAAGGGCCTAGGTTTTGCAGGTTAAGGCTTTACTTAGGGGTACTTAGAAATATTCTTTTATTTTTGGTTATTATAATCCCTAAGAAACAGCTAAAATTATGATTTTTGCTAGGGTTCTAAGTTCAGTATAGTTTAGGGCGTAAGACTTAGGGTTTGGGAATCGGTGCTAGGGTTTGAGGCTTGATTCGGGTTCAGGTTGTAGGTTTAGGATTTAGTGTTTGCGAGGGTCTAGGATTTGGGGTTTAGGGTTTGGGGCTTAGGGTTGCGGGCTCAGGGGTTAAAGCTTGGGGTTGAAATTCTGGGCTTCAGGGTTTGTTTACTCTGAGTTCCGCACATGCCACTAAGGAAGGCGTGGGCGTGTTTGCGGACTTTCAGTGCATGAGCCCAACTGCCCTCAGATAGCAAGCTGCTCTTTACAGCGCTGGATGTGGAAGACTCGCCGCCTGTCCCCGGAGGTGTGCACTTGCAGAAGGCTTCAAATACCAACAGCAGCGCGCTGGCTTTCACATGAGTTGTTCATTCCTGGGGGACGGTGTGCGGGAGGTGTGCCCTTGCGGGAACGGCAAATGCAAGGACCTTGCAGCGACCCACTCGTTGCGTGTGTGTGCAGATGGGAGAAGCATCAAAAACGGGACATGCAACGGCTTAGTCGCATAGGAGAGTAGTAGGAGCCTTCTTATCAGGACACCAAAATACGGAGGCACCCCTAAGTTTCGGAAACTCCCAACATCGTCAGGTTTTTGCATGCTGGGCTCTAGTTCAGTGATCCCCGAAGCAGAGCTTCAAAGGTTTGAGACTCCGAACCCGGGTGCCGAGCCGATCTAGGGGTTTCCGAAAATTGGGGGTACCTTATTGATTTTTCGGGTCCTTATAGTAAGGATCCTACTATTTAGGGTGCTATATATGGGTCCCCTACTTTCGGAAACTCCCATCTAGGACTCTCCTTCTGTTGCACGGGGCTTTAATGGCCCCAGCCCAAGTTTAGCGCTGAAGTTGGCTGCCGACCGGGATCCCGGAGTGGGCCGCGTCTTTGAGGGTAGCGATGACACGGTGGGTTTTAGATTTAGGGATTAGGGTTTAGGGGCTTTGGGGTTTAGAGTTTAGGGGCTTTGGGGTTTAGGGTTTAGGTTTAGGGGCTTTGGGGTTAGGGTTTAGGGTTAGGGGCTTTGGGGTTTCGGGTTTAGGGTATGGGTCTCGGGGGTTTCGGGTTTCGAGGAGGCTTGTGAGGCTTACACCTGAGAGTCGCCAAGGGGGCTGTTCGGCTGGCTGTTCAAAGGGCTTCATGTGGGTTTGTGCTGAGTAAGGTTTTGAGTACCTCAATGTGGAGCTACTCCTGCGAGTGACGTCGTGTTGCTGCTGAAGTTAGAGTCTTCGGGTTGACATGGGAACCCGATGAATTGAGATAGTACACCGTTATGGTCCCTAGACATCGATAGTACAGCATTTCCTCCCTAAGTCGCATTCCAACAGTTAAGGCCCGAGTATCAGGGGAGTTGCCGGAGTTGCTTAGGCTTGCGAGCCCGAAGTTGGGAACGGTTGGTGGGACCTTAAGCTTGAAACGACCCAAAACCCTAAACCACCCGAAACCCAAAACCCTAAACCACCCTAAACCCTAAACCCTAAGCCCTAAACCCTAAACCCTAAACCCTGAACCCTAAACCCTAAACCCTAAACCCTAAACCACCCGAAACCCTAAGCCCAGAAGGCCACCCTGAACCCTGAGATCCCCACTCCGCATCCGTGTAGCGGAAACCCGTAGCTGCGATTGTCTGAACTGAGACTCATGCGCGGCCGGGCCACAAAAGTTCTTGCAATTTTTGGTTGGAATTATGCTTTATTGAGTTCCTGTCCCTGTTGCGGAGCCTAGCTTAGGACACCTCTTGGGCTTAGGGTGTTGAGGTCGGGGCTTGGTTAGGCAGTAGTGTTTTGAGTTTGGGGCCTGAGGGTTTAGCATCCGGAAGATATGATCACAGTTACTTGGAGGTTCATGGGGTAGTTATATGTAGGGTTAGAAGTCCCCTAATATGGGTTATAAGTATAGTTACCCTACTTATAGCCCTACTTATAAATACCCATGAACCTCCAAGTACCCAAAGCGTGCAAACCTCCCGGCCTGCTTTGCCCATGCCAAGTCTTGGACCTGTGTGGAATTAACCAAGTCGTGATCCTGGACTCACCGACTCTACACCCTTGGCCTTAACAGCTTGAAGCTGTGGCGTCATGCTCTGTAACGCCAAGAATCTTGGAAGCATAAAGACGTGTCGCGAACCCTCCACAGATTCAAAATCCCGAACTGTAAACCCTCAGCTCCGAAATGGCTCAGGGTTGACCTTGAACCTTAAACCCTAAGCCAACAGGGTTCAGGGCAGAGGGTTCAGGAACCCTGAGCCCCTCGGGCCGAACATCCAGCAGAACCCAAAACCCAAAACTCTGAGCCCTAAACCCAAAACTCTGAGCCCTAAACCCTAAAACCCTAAACCCCTAAAGCCCTAAATCCCTAAACCCCTAAAGCCCTAAAACCCCAAAACCCTAAAGCCCTAAAGCCCTAAACCCCTAAAGCCCTAAAGCCCCAAAACCCTAAAGCCCTAGACCCCAAACCCTAAAACCCACGAGCCCTGAGACGCCAGGCCGCGTTTGAGTCGCAGCCTCTGACAGCCACGGCTGCACTGCGCCATGCCGTGGAGCACGCAGCAACTGAGGTGCGGACGTTTCATTTCAGGATTAGGGGTTCAGGGTTTACCTTTGTCTGCGATGACCTGGACGTAGCTATGATTCTGTGGATACATCCTATAGCCATGTTGTCAAAGCCCCTTGTGTTGCAGCGGGCTTCAGGTACAGTATTGAGGGTTCAGGTTTAGGGTTTACACCTCTGGAAGGTTTCGGGTTCATCTTTGGATTTCAGGCTCCTTAAGATCTAAGATCTCACCTAGCGGACCTCGCGGTCGGAATACAGACATAGTATCATGCACCCTGAAACCCTCTACTAATCTTTTACCCCCTATCTGGCCCTATCTTATGCGGCTTAGGTTCGCAAATCGCCTGAGCTTTGGACTTCAGGACTCAGGGCTTCGTGGACTCGTGGGGTTTTGTGGCTTTCGACGACCGCTGGAGCCCAAGGGAGCTTCTCAAAGTCAAGGGGATCCTGGGAATCAATATGGGAGTTTCCGAAAATAGGGGGTACCTTATTTGGGGTCCTTATAATAAGGATCCTACTATCTATAGGGTACTATAGGGTCCCCTATTTTCGGAAACTCTCATAATATCCTACTGTGCGGGCTCTACTTTGAACCTTCAGCCCTTCAACCCCAAACCATGCACCCGATGCAGTGGGAAACCCTCCCCTGATGCCAAGCCACCGACTCCCAGGACCCCCTCCCCCCTCAAAAAAAAGCAAGAGTTGATCACTTGGGAGTTTCCGAAAACTTGGGGGTACCTTATTTTGGGGTCCTTTTAATAAGGATCCTACTATTTGGGGTACTATTTTAGGGTCCCCTATTTTCAGAAACTCCCACTTAAATCCTGAACCTTTAAACCCGAAGCCCGTAAAGCCTGACCCTCCAAACGAGTAGATCTAACCCCCCAAGCCCCTAAGCCCCGACACCTTAATTGCTAGATGTTCGCAGGTGGCCCGGGTACGGTCGTGTCACACGACATGGAAGGCTTCAACGGAGGCTGTCTGGTTCAATAGACAGACAGTTGCCGGCAGAATAATACAATGATAGCAGCACTAACAACAATTATGATGAGAACCAGAATCATATGCACAGTCATCGTCATCATCATAATCACAATCAGCATCACGATCGTGATCATGACAATATAAGAACAGGACAAGATCATACGACATCTTATTGTTTTTCTCCTTCTTCTGCTTCTGCTTTTTCTTATTTTTGGTGTTTTTGCTCAAGGTCAAAAGCTTCGTAGGGTTCAGGGTGAGCTTCGAAATAAGCCTTCGGGCAGAGAAGGCTGCTGTTAAGGATGCGGCCGACAGTCAGAACTGGACCTTCAACCCAAAACCCGAAACCCGCAGGGTTTAGGGGCTTTGGGGTTTAGGGTTTAGGGGCTTTGGGGCTTGCTTGCTTGGACTTCGGACATGTCTGTCAGACGTCGGCGTCGCTCTTCGCGACAATCAGACAGAGACTCCCGCATTGAGGAGGATCTCACAAAATCGAGCGGCAGCCTCGCAGTCCAACCCTGCGAGGGCCGCGTCTCTGGTGGCTGTATTAGCACACTCGAACTCAGAGACGGCCTGCCTGGCAGCATAAGCGAAGTCTGCGGCCTCAGGCCCGCATTCCTCGAAGAAGCTCTGGATTACGCTTAGCTGGTCGGCTGACACTCCCGCGTGCTGGGGCAAAGGGAGAGGGCCCACAGCACGGACTGCTGGAAGAGTATCGGTGGGCAGAGTTTCTCTGCGGCTGGTAGCCGGGGGAACTCGGCTGCAGAGGAGGGCTGGTGGAGCCGCTAGCAGGTGGTGGCCGCAGTTAGGCCGGTCGTGGGCGAGATGCCGGAGCAGCCTGGAGTGGCGCCAGAACTCTGTTAGACAGCAGGGGCAGCGCGTGGACGGAGCCAGCTGCGAGAGAAGAGTACCATGCCCGTGCTTGGCCCACATGTGGGCACGGGCGGAGTGGACATCCGGGAACTGCTGGTGGCAGATCTCGCAGCCAACATGTCCGATGGCTTCTTCTGTCTGCCCTGTTGCGGTGGAGGGCCCGTCAGGATCTGGGTCAACGGGTGCTCGTCTGGCAGAGAGATGACGAGCCTTTCGAAGCCAGCCCTTGACCTGGGAAGGCCGGTGAAGACTGTGGTCAAGAAAGGTAGTGAGGTCGGTAACACCGTGCTTGACCATGCGTGGACCGACAAGCTCCTGCAGCCATCCGAAGGCGGTCTGAGCCTCAGCCAGCCATGAGTGCTCGGAGAGCTCTGCTTCTTCGTGCAGGAGGTCGAACAGTCGCTCCAGCTGCTGTCCGCCCAGGAAACGGGCATGCTCGAGGATCAGCAGTTTACGCTGGCTGACGGGGCAAGGACGCCCTGACTGGTAACAGATCAGCGAGGCCGTGGGAAAGTGGGGAGCGCCGTCAACAATCCGCGGCCGATGCAAGGCTCGATAGAGCTTGGAGAGACCGTGCGACCAGAGTGCCTCATCTCTCTGGTTGAGATGATGCCAGATGGCAACTCCATAGGTAGCTCTAGTTATGGCCAGGGTGTCCAGGAGCACTGCGCGCTGCTCTAGCGGCACAGTTTGACGACGGAACACCGGTCGCATCAGTGGAGAAACAACCGTCTGGGCATGGGCAAACTTGATCCTTAGATCAGTGCGCACACCGCCCGTAGTGCGCAAAGTGGTACCCAAATGCTTGTACTGGGTAACACAAGCAAGCTCTTCTGGGGGGGTAGTGCGGAGGGAAATGTGTCCTCGTCCGGTGCGGTAGCAGGCCGTACTATGTTTGCGGGCACCTTCTCCATGCCAAGCGAGGAGGAGCTCAGTTTTGCCTGCATCATAGTTCGGAGCCATGGCTCTTCGTACACAGGCATTATGGAGAGTGGTGGCCACCACAGAGGAAACCTCCAGGAGAGAGCTTGCAGGCGCAGTGACAGGGAGCGAGATGTCATCAGCCCAGGTGGGCATATAGGCATCTGGGAGGCCCTGCGCACGAAGTTCTTGCCTGACTTCCAGAGTGAGGTCGGCAACAGCAAGTCCGTAGAGGATATCGGAAATAGCATCTCCGGGGCGAGATCCAGCCTTAGTGGTGGTGGCGGTGGGCACGTCATCCATGACAAAGAAAGTGGCATGAAAGGTGCAGGCGAGGACTCGTTTAAAATGCGGGCTGGCCCGGTTCAGCATCCCGCCAGAGGTCGCATATCTGGTGACATCCTGTAGGTGCTCTGGCTTGACTCCGAGTCTGTGGAGGAGCTGGCAGAGGTCGGCATCGCTGACCTCAGCTCCAGTAACAGCCTGCCGGACTAGGCGATAATACGCTGACCGGAGGTCAAGAAAGAGAATGGCAGCAGAAGTGCCTCGGAGCTTGGCTGTATGGAGGGCCGTCTGAAGGATGTGTGTAAGAGCAACGGGCCCACCACCCGGCACGCATCCCTGTAGCAGGGGGAGGTCCTTGTGCTGCACCTCGTCAACAAGAGTTGGACGATGGAGGCGGTGTAGGAACTTTGCAGCAGGGTCAAGGAGAGCGATGCTTCTAAAGTTGTCTGCTCGCGCGGTGGCGCAAGCCTTCTTAAGCATGGCAACCAGTCTGCAGCCTCTATATTGGACTGGCTCAGTCAGGCGAAGATTAGCCTTGACATAAATGGGAAGCAGGGCTTCAGCAGCAGCGGGGGGAGCTGCCTTCCACATGCAGCCTGGAACGCCGCTGGGGCCTGGTGCCCTCCCATCTTTTGCTCGTCGAATGACCTGTTCGACATCGTATAAAGACGGGAGGTCAGCGATGGTGCAGGCACCTTTGGGCGGCAAGCCGGGAGCGGCTGAGCAATATTCGTCGAGATCAAGTTTCTCGCCGGCCTCCTGCTTTTCGAAGTGTTGTCTATGAGCCTCTTGTTGGGCGGAGTGGGTCTGAACCGTGGCGCCTTCTCCGTCGCAGAGGGGGACCGCGGGCCCAAAGGGCTTGAAGACCTTTTTTCCGGCTGGCCTGAAGTGCCTGAGCGCGTGGTACAGCTCACGTGCATCCTGTTCCCTAGCAGCATTCTCAAACCTTTGTGCCAGACTGGCAATGTACGCTGCTTTGCTAGACTCAATTGCCTTCCGCAGCAGAGGCAATAGACGGCGATGTTCAGCAAGCGCATTGAAGTAGGCATGGTGGGCCTGCGCTAGTCTGTGGGTGCATAGCGAGACCGGGGAAGCGCTGAGGCGGGCAAATTTCCAGGCGCGAAAGAAGAGGCAAAGCTTGGTGCGGTGGAGGTTGTTGGCAGTATGCACGACGCGCTGCTTGGCTTGCTTTCTGGCACAAACAAGGGCCCAGGCTGTGTCATCAAGGTAGGCCTTGCGTGGGCGTTTGGATGCAGTAGCTGGGGCAGCAGCTCGCCACATGGCTGCATCAAGAGCAGCAACATGTTCATGCACGTTGGTTTCCCAGGGGATCTGCGCAGCTTGGGTGAGATGTGTGGTGAGGTCAAGACCAGCCCGCCTAACATCATCAACGCATCGTAACCCTATGCGAGGGAAACCGCATGTGACGTCAGGATGGGCGTCAGCCCGAAGTCTCATCTTGACACAAACAGGGAGGTGATCATCAGGACCTCCAGTTTCAAAGCTGTGCCATACACCTTGCCATTCAACGGCTTCAAGACAGGATTGAGGTACTGCAATGTAGTCAATCCGGTGCTTGCCACCGTTAGGTGATACCCATGTGAAGGCTTCTGGATCTTTGGCAAGGACTTTGCCCGTGGAAGAGGCAAAGGTGGTAGGTAAGGCCAGGCTGTGACTGTCGCAGAAATCACGAAGGCGCTCGCCATTGGGAGTTTCCGGATCTGGGGCATGTGCCCCGATCGCTGGACCTGTGATTTCTCCGAGCTGGGCATTGGCATCCAGGCCTGCGAGGAGTGGAATATTCGGCTGAACATGTTTACGGAGGATGGCCTTAGTTTCATGCCACCAGCCGTCTGCAACGGACTCAGTGGCCCCTGAGTGCGGGGCATGGCCTGAGAAGAGAAAACAGTCAAGACGAGCAGCCTTCAGTCGGAGGAGAAGCCGGCGCGGGTCCTGGTGCAGGATCTTGACTTGCTTGGCCTGCAGCTGGCCGTGAGGGAGGCGCTTGCTGAGCCAAATGGCACATCCCCCGTTGCCACGCTCGGCTGGACTGCGGAACTCAATGTAATCATCCGCCGCACAGGTGCCCCCACTACGATGGCGGGTTTCTTGCATGAAGATCACGTGGATCCGCTCCTGCTGGAACTGCACACGACAGAGGTCTTTCTTCTTGGCCAGGGATTGGACATTAAAGGTGCAGAGTGACAGCGTAAGGGTGGCATCGGTTTGGCGCGGCTGCTGCATTTGTGCTTGTGGGAAACAGTTGCGAGGCACCACATCTGGGGCTTCGTAGGCAGAGGATTGCAGAGCCGGCAGGGCAGGGAGAGCCTGCGAAGGGAATTTGTGGTGCCAAAGCCACGGGAGCTGCCTGTGCTTGAGCAGTGCGAAGAGACTTTCAGGGAGGGGACGCTGGACGAGAGACCTGGCCTGTTTAGCAACCTGATCCGCTAGTTCATTGCCCGGGCAACCCTGGTGGCTTGCGAGCCAGTGAAGCACAGCTGGGATTGGGCGTCTTTGCAGCGTTTGCCATAAGCATCGGCAAGCTTTCTGTAGACGTCCAGTGGCTTGCTGTGAGTGAGGCTCTGCGACGCCCAAGGCTATATCAGTGAGGGCCTTGCAGTCACAGAAAACGCGGAGCTGGACGTTTGGGGGCCAGGCCGCCGCCCACGCGGAGGCCACTGCCAGAGCGACAGTTTCACTGTCCATGTTGTCTTCCAGGCCAGCAAGGGCATGCACAGCGAAGGCCTGGGTGTTGCCAGAGAAAAAGCCAAGCACATTCTCCCAGGCTGCATGAGGAAAAGCATAGGCTTCACATACAACAACAGCCCAGCCTGGCTTCATTCCGTCCCCTGCAGAACCATCTACATAAATGTGGATGGCATCTGGACACCATCGGCCTGGCTCATGCCTCTGGCGGAGAAGATCAGCAGCAGGCCCCTTGACAGGGCAGTCTGGCTCAGAGTGCCAAGCAGTCTCCCAGAGTGCAAGTGGCGGGATCACAAGGGGAGGCGCAGGTGGTTCTGGATCCGCAGGGATAGGGTTGCTAGAGTGCTGGGCCAGGGCCTCTTTGTGGTCGCCACTGGCCTCCGGGGTGGGCTTTGGCAGACATAGGTGATGAGCCGTATCGTCCAGCTTACCTGGATTGGGCAGAGCAAGCACACGTCGACCAAAAGGCGTCGGGAGCGAGCGCATGGCGGCAGGAGAAGGTCTCATAGAGGAGGGGCCAAGGGTGGAGGCACCTCTAGGAGTGGCCTCGCCCTGGGCGGGCTTGGCAGCGATAGCAGCTTCGATTTCCGCAACACGCTGCATCACCTTGGTGCTTTGGTTGCCTGGGCTGCCGGCCTGGGCACCTCTTGCAGGCCTGTCACTACCTAGGGTGGGCTCAGGGGATCTGCACATAACTTGGCAGCCAGAGGGCGCGTTGGTCGGCAATCGCGGAGGCGGTCCGCGTTGTTGCGTAGCTGCAGCTGCAGCTGCTTGCCCTGGCAGAACTACTGCTTCATCGGAGGAGGGCTCTTCGAAGAAGCGGGGTTCATGCACAGACAGGAGAACATCCCCATGGTTGAGGCCCCGTTGTGGGTAAAGCACAATGCCGGGCAAAGCAGGAACTTCGGTCAGCACGGGGGTGTCCGGGTGCACAAGATGCATCAGGAAGTGTCTTGGGTGGTTGGGTGCAGGGCTGAGCACCGTGGCAACCAACCTGTAACGATACGCACTGACAAAGACTGCATCGTGAAAGCCGTA